TTAAAAGAAACGAATCTTCTTAACTCAGAGAACGAAGGAGACAATCTGCATTTAAAATTACTGTACGCTCTTTAGGGAACAGAGAAAACTTCTAGACTGAGGCACAATAGTTGTTTTTTTTTTTTTTTTTTAAGTATTATTCCTCACAGAATAACCTGCAAAGGCTAGGAGCTGAATTGGGATCTTCTGAATAGAAAGCAAGTTATTGACTACAGAAGTGAGACTCATGTAGGAATATGCCCACCTGAGCTCAATCCAGCTTATAGGTTGGGTTCACACGTTACTCAGACCTGTGGTTGTTTTTAGCACAGCCTGCTGACCAAGTCACAAAGGATTGCAAAATTAAATCGTGGGTTGTAAATGTCTGGCTTCTCATCTCGTTTTAATTCAATGAACTGTCTCATGTAGACTTGCACAAGAATGGACCATAAAGGACCCTGGCTGGCCATGTTTTCACAACGTGCAACTAAACAATGGCATATTGAATTAACCCAGTAGCACATCACACTGAAAGATCAAATAATCCCACAGGCTGCGTCCACACAATAGCGAGTGAAGTAAATTTCACTGAGTTCGATAAGATGTGTCCCCAAAAATACCGAGGGTTATGGCATTATGCTGAATCCCACTAGTCTGAATTCAGACATCTGATTATGATGCACTCTGGACACAGAGCAGATATTTAGATTAAATGATGTCTGTCTGTCTTTGCATTCCTGTAGGCTGAATTTAATTCTGATACTATTCAAATGGGGGGGGGGGAAAGAGGCATCAACTGCTTTGAAGTTCCATGGAAAGGGTTTGGGGACTTAAATCTAGGAGAAAATCACACGTGCCTGAGGCTGCACTGAATGTTCTTACCTGAAAATAACCCCAATGGGAACTGAGAGCAGTTGCTTCTGTGTAAACATGTTGGGGATCACGCTGCAAAGTCTCCTTATCGTAAGACTCTCTGTGTTAAGAATAGAAATATTTTAATTTTGGCCAGCCTGGTTTTCCCCAAAAGGTTTTGGCACTGCAGTCCTAACGATTTCAATAAAGCCGCTTTCAAGCCCATCTGGTTCAAGCAAGGTAGTTTGCAATCCAGCAAAAGGCTCCTAAAAGTAGAAGTGTCCTTTAAGAGGAAGAGTCCTGAAATCTGGGGCTTACCAGGCAGCTTGAACAGGAGATCTCTAGAAAACCTTAGAACCCGAAGTAAAAAATTCCTAGAAACCAGCCAGTGCAAACTGTTTTGCCCTCATGTCGGTTCCAAGAAAACCACAGGACATGTTGGGGCATCCAACTTGAAGCAGGCTTTTCATATCCGCCTACAGGGATCCAGACTGGGGGCTCAAAGAGGTCAGCCCCTTCCCCACCCCACACAAAACGCTCCAAGGGTTTGCTTTTGGGTGGCCCGCGGTCAGCCCCGACAGGTTTATCTGCGCTGATGAAGCAGGAGGCCCTAAACACCCAGTCCCTGCTGAGTAAGCTCAGCCCATCTTTGCTCAGAACAAACAGCAGCCTGGGGTGGAGCTCAGCCCCACCTGCTTTGCTCATGGAGGAAGAATCTGGGTGAGAGCAGGAGAGAAGCGGCTGCTTGCTTCGAAGGAATGACGGGGATGGCAGGAGCGCCAGCCGAGCGTGCTCTTCTTCTTCACAGCGCACGTGGGTTAAAAGCAACACAACAGGTTGGGTGGGTGTGCCCACGAGAGGCAGGGTGAGTTCCAAACTTCTCCCCCTGCCCCAGCTTGCTTGGCACAGGTGGGATGACTACCTCCGCTACTAGAATAACCTGCGGTAGGGTGGCAGAATCCTAGATGCTGTGGGTGGTGACGGATGGAAATCAGGCAGCTGAACCAAGCACCCTGGCACGTGTTTCTTGGGAAAGGCCACCTCTCATCTTCAGCTTGGCTTGTTTGCAGAAAAGGGTGTCTGGGCTCTGCTGCAGGTTTGACTCACTTTGGGGCTGGCCAGATTCTGATCTTTGGAGTCCCTCGGGCAATGCCCTTTTGAGTTGCTTTTTGCATTTCTGGGGGGCACGAGATATCTCTTGTTGGGAGAGGAGGGCCCTGAACTAGCCAGGAGTGGAAACTTGATGGGGAAAGTCACAGAAGGTACAGACCCGTGGAGAGACGCCTGGGTCAAGGCTTTAACCATGGAGTAAAGCAGGGTTGGCTCTTACTATTTTGAAAAAAGCATAATTATGTCATTCTGTAGAGAAAGTAGGGCAGCGTGCGGGCATGTCTGCGTGTAAATAAAATTGCTGTAAAACCTAATACATACATATACATACATACATACATACATACATACATACATACATACATAAGGTAGCAGCAGCTGGTAGAAGACGACAATCATTTGCTGGGGCCCTACAACCACCTGAGGAATTAGCACTGGTTAGAAGCACAACAGCTGGATCCATACAACGCACCAGCCAAAACCAATCCAGCAAGCCGTATTATGAAGTTGCGGGATGCACAAACACAGCTTGCTTTCACAATTCATAAGCTACAACTAGCCTATGAAAAGAAGGCAAAGCCAGGAGTCTTATCTCATATCTCGTTCTTTAAAATCAGTAATATCTACTGAATACATTGAAAGCAGTCATGTGGTCTCTGACCTTTGGAATCGGAACTGGTACAGTCCTCTCCCAGAGGTTTTATCTACCTTACCTGCAGTTTGTGTAACTTAACCCTCAGTATGTGACATTGATGCGTATCCAGCAATAGGCCCTTAACAAAAATTCAAGTGTCTCTTGAACGAGGGTAGGACCTCCTGCCTTGTTGCACGTTCCTATTAATCCTGCAGAGCTGGAAAAACGCTAATAATTCAGTTTTTAGTCTGGATTCAGTGATTCTTTCTCTGAATGATACCATTGGAGATCTATTGGTTTCCCAAGCCACTCAAAGTTGTTGAGAGTTGGACAGCATACAAGTTCCATAAATTATAATTATTATTATTGTTGGTCACATAGCCAGATGTTTAGACTGGATTTGACATTTTTGTCCACCCTAAGTCCTTCCCAAGGACCTGGGATAGGCAGATGTTAGTTAATAATATTAAAGGTATTGTTGCAGGATATATTATTGTTGGTTGCAGAGTCAACCAGATGTTTAGATTGGATTTGGCATTTTGGCCCACCCATCGAGTCCTTCCCAAGGACCTGGGATAGGCAGATGTTGTTTAATTAATAAAGGTATCGTTGCAGGATGTAATATTATTATTGTTGGCTGCACAGTCAGCCAAATGTTTAGACTGGAGTTGGCATTTTTATCCACCCATCGATTCCTTCCCAAGGACCTGGGATGGGCAGATGTTGTTTGATGGTGTTCAAGGTGTCGTTGCAGGTTATAAGCTGTCCCAAGTAAAGCTGCCTTTTGCAATGGGCTGATGGTGATTTTGTCAATGCTGATGGTGTTCAATTGATGCTCCAGAAGTTTTGGGATTCACCCAAGGGCCTATTACTATTGGTGCTCTCTTTGCTTTCATTTGCCACAGTCATTCTCTTTGCAGGCCTTTGTATCTTGTGATTTTCTCCAGTTCTTTCTCTTCTCTTCTGCTGTCTCCAGGTATTGCAATGCCCACTGTCCAGACTTTTTT